ACACTACAGTTTCGCTTTGAAGCTCCGTATGACAAAAAGTCAAATCCGACAAGAAATATAAAAATTGAAAAATACGTTGGATTCCCTAGTAGCACAGTGCATTGACCAAACATTGGTGAAACATTGGCCCAACATTTGATTGTACTGGGCCAATGTTTAGCCAATGCACTGTGTTACTAGGGTTATTGTGTATCCTTAATTAAAAATTCTAAAATTCAACTCAAAATGTAACGTATTTCGCCAAAGTAAAATATAGATTTGTCAGTAATCGATAACAGTGCAGTTGAAATACTCGGGTACTTCCCAATGTAATACAGAGAACAACGTTATCACTAACTGGTATAAGTACATAACCGAATAATGATATCGTCACCGATTGTTGTACCATCGGATATAAATATATTTGATTAGCCTAAATGCAATATTAAGTTCGATTGAACATTATTTAGATGATTCGTAGACCCAAGGAGAAATGAAGTCAAACCGATGCCAAAATATGATCAAATTTTAATTTGTCAATATGATTTCAAACTACATAAATTTGTGATGTTTTCTTTACTGTATCTGCAAATGTAATATAACAGGCATGTATATTACATTTATATTGATGTTATGTAACTGTTACATTGGTATTTGCTGCGAAAATAGCATGTCATACATCTGTCATTGCAAAATAAATCTTAATGTCGATCATTTTACGACGTAAAATTCATCATTTGAATGTCACATTGACGTTCTTGTGATTAACTTGTTCTACTTCGGAGCTAAATTGAAACTACCTCTTCATTGCAATAATTACGGACAATAATTAATTGCTTCTTTAATCGATGCTCGTATTCAAGCATATCGCATTAAACAGTGGTAAATAATGAGAGTATTTTAAAAATATAACATAAAATCTGAATATGTTGTAAAATATTTTTGTTGCAAGCAATAAAAAATTTACTTAAAACATTTTTAACCGATTGTTCGTGACACCGATTAATCGATTAGTCGAGTTTTTAAATAATCAGTTGAAAAACCGATTACGAATATATTTTCGGATTACTTCTGCCAATAATTACTTTCTCAAAATTTATTTTTCTCATAATCAATATTAGTAGATTATCAATTTTTTTTGTTAAAACAACCAGAGAGAAACCTGAGAGCGCCTTACGCCCATTTTCATTTTTGGAACTATTTCGCTACACCCATTTTCAAGCACTGCCGATAAAGTCTCCACTTGGATATACCAACATGCCTATCCGAATCTTTACCTGCCCGTATTCCGATGTGTAGTCCTTATCCATTTTCTACCCGCGTTTCAACTTTTTCTTAACAAACCTACAAGTCTTTCGTTAAAACCGCGTCACGATTTATAAAAGGTCCGATTTGGGGCTATACGCGCGCGAATGGGACTTAATAGGAGCCTTATTGTTAATCTCGCACATATGCGAGATGTAAAGAAGATAATAATATAACCCACCCGAATTTTGATAAATAAGAAGAAATCAACTTCTTTCGCACACCATCTTACTCACATACTCCATCGGAGTGGCCAATATCGACCACTTACCCCGTCGTATCCAGTCTTCTTTCGTTGGGCCAGATTGGACATACCTTTCGTTGCTCCTGGCCGTACAGTCTGGTCATTTTGACCAGAGATCAGGAAGAGAGAAAACTCATTCCATAGTCGGCTTATCACCGACAGATATTTCGTACGGTTCGAACTATATGCGAGCGCCGATCGTATCGAAAAATGCACGACCAAGAGAGAAGTTATTTAAAGAAGAAACGAAATTTTCAAATATTTAATTTTTAAAACTGATCAAAGTGTAATTTTACTTCCGTTATCAAAGGTACTGACCGTCTCTTCGTAACACAATTTTTTAATATCAAATTCAAGCACATAAATATATTGTAGAACAAAATTGTACTTAGTGTTAGATTTATTTTAATTGTATTCCGCGATGAAATTAAACAATTAATAATTTCTTGAACGTGTTGTGAAAAACTGATCGCGAAAACCGACCGCGAAAATCAACCGCAAAAGTATAAGATGCGTGTGACTATGAATGTATTTATGCTAAACGCATCTTGACAATATCACGAGACATGCAGAATAAATGACGTAAGATCCAGAAAAAAGGAACTTGCTACACGAGTGATACCGATATTTTAATTGAATATTACAGTTAATCGATAATCTCAAATAAAGTATGAAAATAATTTCAAATTTAAGCATTCTCGATAAAATATATCGGAATCTCACGTCATATTATTTTACTTTACACATATATCAATTCTTTAATTAAAAATGGATAGGCTACGAGGGATTAGTTGACCGAATACATCGACAATATTCGTCATATTTCGCGTAATTTCTACGATGTAGTTCAACCATTTTCAACATGAAAAATGAGCTTAAGATACTCTGATTTGTGGAGCTCTATAAAGTCACTTCTCTTCGATAAATGAAATATATTAAATAAACCGCGAAATTATTTGTAACCTATCCATTTTAACGGATCTACGAAATAAATCAATCTATTATACAATCTATGATCTAAAAATGTAGATTCCGTTACTTTAATAAAAAGATTTTCACTCACCGACACGATGCCCAGCGACGGAGTTTAGATTCTGCAATGGCGCCCGATGTCTCCTCCTCCACTCAGGTGTCCTCCTCTCAGGTATTGTTGTCTCAGCTGTCCTCCGACACACTCGCGAATTTACACTTCCGTTTGTAAAGTCACTTGTCACTGTCACTCCCTGGTGAAAATAGAATTTGGAGCGTAAATCGAATGTAAGGGGAGAGTGACAGAAGCGCAAACGAAATGTGTAGGGAGCGTAATTTGGGACAGCAAAGCGTAAAAGAAGCGTTCAAGTTTCTTTTACGCTTCGCTGTTCCAAATTACGCTTCCCACACTTTTCGTTTACACTTCTATCACTGTCTCCTTACATTCGATTTACCCTCCAATTTATATTTTCACCAGGGCTGTATCCAAATGCCACTTCACTCGCGAATTCACACTTCCGTTTGTAACGTCACTTGTCACTGTCATTGTATCCAAATGTCACTTCACTCGCGAATTCACGCTTCCGTTTGTAAAGTCACTTGCCACTGTCGCTGTATCCAAACGCCACTTCTTCGGTTTTCACTGTGTCCGATTGTCATTGACAATGAGTCAGATCGCAACTATACGAACTGTTCGATTACATCGAGCATCGATGGCAAATCGCGGGAAATTCAGCGATCGCGCGATGATATCGATCACTGATTATTCGCAGAGAGCGATCGCGGTTTCGTCCCGCACCTATCGCGAACGCGTGTCACGAAAGAATAAGACGACATGCGAAGCGGCACGGGCACAACCGATCAATTCGACTGTCGCCGCGTGAATGACCCTGGCCTACGGCGCCGTAAACACCTCGGCAAAACCCGAGCGCGAATTCCAATAGATTGTTTACGACCGAGGTGCTCGCGTCGCTACGTCATTTCTTGGAATCCGCGCTCGGTTTTTACGGTGTTTACGGGGTGCCGTACGTACGATCATTTACGCGGCGATAGTCGAATTGATCGGTTGTGCCCGCGCCGCTTCGCATATTATATTCTTTCTTGAATACGCGTTCGCGACAAGTGCGGAAAGAAACTGCGATCGCTCTCTGCGCTCTCAATATTAAATGTGATAATTTGATAGATGATCTTCTAAGCGTGTTGGTATATCTTAAAAAATATCTTAAAACACAGTCGTTATACGCATGATGTAAGAAGATAAGGTGTGCTCTCACCGTGAACCAATTTTGGTTTGTTTCTGCGCCTTCCAAAACGACGCCATATTGGGAAATATCAACCACCC